TGATAGGAGCACAACTTTGGTTTTTCATTTCAATCCACTTTTGAAATGACAAAGTTGCCACTATTTTAATCGCAATTTAAAAACAGGTTCACTCTATTTTTTTTATGTTTTCTTTATCTTGTCAATGAGAAGAGACCCAACTGAGCAAGAAAAACAGTCCATTAAAACAGTGGTCAGGTGAAAGATGCCTGCAATTTAAAGTTTTCTGGCTTTAACATATGACTGCCTTATATTTAACTCTAATTTTCAGACTGCCTGAAGAAGACTAATGCCAGGAAAGGAAATCATTTTTCCCACATAAATTACAACAGACACTGTATATAATATATATTATATCAAGGGCATTGTTGTCATTGCAAGTGAGAGGGTGTTAATGTTTGGGCACTTTGGCTATCCACAAATAAAATATAGAATAGATCATGGGAATTCTGGTCTTGTAATTTCGTACGTACCACTTTTGTTTGAGTTCACATGTTTGGTCATCTTTCTTCTTCTTGCACGAAACTAGGAAATTTCTTCATGACCTATTGACTACGTTGGCATGTATAGCCTGCAGGAAACATGAGTTGCTTTATGCGCTTCAAATTTGTTCGAGAAGATAAAAGTACAAGTAAAGTTTAAGCTAGTTGGCCAAAGCAGTGAGCTCGCTTTTTTAGTTACATTAATTTAGAGTAGTTGGACTACCGCTTGTATAAAGGGAAAAATACTAATGGAATATAATAAGTCAATGACAAATTAATTTGTCACTGAAATCCCCCAAAATATTCTCTCTAAAAAAGATTAAGAGGGTGTGTCATCACTTGTGTCATTTCTTCAACAAAGATTTGGGGGATCCCTATTCCCTCCTAAAATTATATGCACCTTGCGTGTGCTATGCCACTACCATTGAATTAATTATGACAATGGCTCATGTCCATATATTTTTGTCCAAAATAATTATGATTTTTTCTTTCTTATCCTTTTATGAAGTTGGTGGAGCTAGACTTCTTTCTGCAGTCAAACAACAAGGATAACCCCCTAACACCTCCAAACCTTTTTTTTTTTGGGGTTTGTGGATTTCAATTGTGAAGAGAAGGCTGGTAATTAATGGTTTATTTGGTTTCAAGGGGACGAAAGACACAAAATTGTAGGGTCCAAACATGGCATAAGCTCCAAGGGCGGTTTGGGACACAAATTTTCTTTTGACAACACGTAGCTGACCCAGCTTCCCCCTCTTTTACTATGACTTTTTTATTTTTTTCACAATTAATTAAATAAACATGTGCGTGCCGCGTACCCTCTCATTTGCTTATTGCCCTAAGAAAACTGACAAAGACATATTTGTAATTAAGGGTATAATAATGTAACATAAGCAACTTGCTAATAAGAGGCTTTGAACCTCCGTGCTTTTCAAAACTGAAAGATTGAAAGGGACACAAATGAGAACAACGACGTTTGGAAACAATCATAGCTTATTTCTCAAGCACGCTGCTGTGCGTTTATCACTAAATTTTTTGGTCATAGGAAACAAACATGCAATCAGGTCAATGCAAATGTTTTCAAGCACGGCCTTGGATATAAGGCATATTCTGACTTGGGTTCGATTGACTCAAGGGAATAAGAGGTTTTCTATTTAAACCCCGCACTTCTCTTTGTTCACCCCAATACTTAAATCATTAAGCTGTAAGTTTTATTATTATGTAAAAAGACAGAAAAGGTCATCCAACTTAATGCTTAACCCTAGTA